CCACTGTTTTTGCAGCAAAAATGGCAAAATCTCAGTGTAAGACCCTTAAAAAAGACACAGATTGCATTGCTATTAGGGATTATAGAATGCACTAATATTTAGAGTGTTTTCTATCTCTTTTCTTTGCAGGACAGAATATTGGTCTCTGCAATGGGAAGTTGAAAGCTATGTCTGGGGAAGAGCTCGACCAGCTGGCAGAGGCAGAGCTCTCCTCCACTGTCCAAAATGTAATGGCTTTGGTCACATAAACAAAACTTATTTCCAACAACTTCATCTAATACAAGCTTGTATTTTATCTTTTTGTTGTTGTTGTTTTTCAGGTTTCCATTTTCTTCAGAACAAGTCCAAAGCACAAACTAAAAATAATAAAGGTACTAAGAGCCCCTAAAAATAATTTTATGCCTCACAAAAACAAAGGGGGGGAGCCTCAGTTCTGGAGATGACCTGGTCTTCCCCAGCAGGATTTAAAAGATTGTAAAACCCCAGCTAGAGCATTGGCACCATTTACTCTGAAGGTATTAGCTGTGCAATTTGACTTGATGATCCTTGTGGGTCCWTTCCAACYCAGGATATTCCATRATTATATGATTTTATTTCTCTTGCAAGTCTGGTCTGGGCATTTGAAAAACACTTAGTAGAGGTATTAGCAAGTAAAACATCAGGAGAATGATTTCTGATGATTTTACTCCCCTTTTCTAACTTCTGCAGGAGTTCTGAGTTTCTCCATACTCCTGAAAAGACAAACTCTTAGTTCTTAGTGTGCGTTTTGTCCTCAGAGTGGCTCTGAGTCTGTTTTACCCTCAAACAGCACTTCTGATATTTCAATAGCAAAAAGAGCGAGGCAAATAGTACAAACTCTGAGATTGCCAACAGGATTTTGTCTTGTTGCTCGAGAGCCTCTGACCTCTGTCCTCCCACAGGCTCTGCAGAGGGCTGGTGCTGTGGTGTCCATGACGGGAGACGGCGTCAACGATGCRGTGGCCCTGAAATCCGCCGATATCGGGATCGCCATGGGACAGGCRGGGACAGACGTCAGCAAAGAGGCTGCCAACATGATCCTGGTGGATGATGACTTCTCAAAAGTCATGTAGGTTTGGTGACTTGCTCCTCAGCTCCTTTCTGGCTGTGGGATGAGCTCTGGGAATGAGGCAGGATGCGGGATGTGGGAGTGGACACACAGCAATAGTTGCACACAGGGCAATGTTTTTTCTTCCAAGGGGTGGTGACMAAGCCACCTTTCACCTGAAAGCCCTGGTTTGGGGCTGGAGCTAACTGGGCACCTGAGAGCTCTTAGAAGTCTGGGTAAATCAGAGCTTTTTTGGCAAAAGTCAGACTTAATGACCTTGGAGGTGYTTTCCAACCTTTACGATTCCACCTYGTACTCATCCAGGAAGCTCGGAGGAAAAGCGTGATTTGCAATGCTCTGTTGGTTTATGATAACAGAGGGGGCAGGGAACAGTGAGTATATAAATAGATCCCAGGCCTGTTTTATGAACCAAAACCTGGCCATGTTTTCAGATCTGCTCGGTTTGATAAAGGAATTGTAAGTGAGAGGCTGCATTGACCACCTCCTCCTGAGCTGGGCTCTGAATTTCCACTGAAATAAGGGCCAGAAAAGACAATTTGTGCTTTGAGTGTCACGAGGAGCTCAGTGTCAAACAGCCTGAGCACTCTTTACTTCATGAACTCCCCTCTCCCTTCCAGGAATGCCATAGAAGAGGGAAAGGGAATATTTTACAACATCAAAAATTTTGTCCGGTTCCAGTTGAGCACGTAAGTCCCTGTTTGCTTCAGCTCCTGTGAAAGCACCTTCGGGGTGAGGCCCTGCAGATATTTATAACATTGTTCTGTGCTTTGCAGGAGTATTTCAGCTTTGAGCCTAATTACTCTGTCAACAGTGCTCAACCTACCAAATCCACTCAATGCTATGCAGATCTTATGGATCAACATCATCATGGATGGGCCACCGGCACAGAGGTATGGAAGAGCCCAATGAGCAAAATAATCTGGGCTTTCATAGGTCTCAATGGACTTAGGAACACAAACTCTTGTGATTCCTCATCAATCATCATCAGTGGGTTGATCAGTTGCACATTTTTTCTCTTCTTTCATAAAGCACTTCACATTTACTTGAGGATTTATGTATTTTCCTGKTTTATGGTGGAATCATTTTATTCAATTTTCTGAAACTATTCCGTTTTTTGGCCTGTTATCCTGAAAGCATCTCTCTCTAGTAGAGTGGCCAGGGAATAGGGGGTACATGCCCCAAAATCACGAGACTTAGGAACTTCATCCAACTGCTAATTACAATTACATTTAAATACAATTACTGCTTCCACATTCTGCACACTCTCCCAGCTGGCTCTCCCTCTGGGATGGGATACTGATGTGATGAAATAATGTTATTTTGGCAGCTCAATATGCAGAAAACACCTTTAGCATCAGTGTCAGACAAATTTGGGGCCTTACATCACCCTGCCAGAAAACTCSAAAGGATTGCATCCTCCAGCTCCATCCTGTTTTATCAGGATGTCCATTTTGGGACAGCCTGCATTAACTAAACTCATTCCTCTGCTTCTCTTGGAGGCAGCTTGGGAGTTGAACCTGTTGACAGGGACACCATCAAGCAGCCCCCACGGTGCATCACGGACACCATACTCAGCAAATCCCTGATCCTGAAAATCTTCATGTCAGCAGCCATCATCATCAGTGGAACCCTCTTCGTCTTCTGGAAGGAGGTGAGGGAAATCTGCACTCACATCTTGTTTCCATCAGGGTGGATGGGGAACAGAGTGAAGGGCACTTTCTGAAGGAGAACTTTCTGGAATCCATCCTGTGGGGAAGGATCAGTGTGGGCAGAGGGTTCAAAATGCAGGGTCAGCTCCCAGCTCTGCTGTCACGTCCCTTTGTTGCCTTTAATTTGGAGCTTCCAATTTAGAATGGGAAACTTATTACTTGATGTGGCATCAATACTTTAAGGGACATTTCGCCTCTAGCTTTCCATTTTCCCAGCAGAAAATGCCAAGTACRTAAGTACAATAGATTGCTGTTGGTAAACAGTGACTGTTATGTTAAGTCTCAGTAATTTATTTCAGAATGTTCTTTTCTCAAAGTCCACATCAGTTTAAGATTTTAAAATATGGGTGATAAGATCGTAAACTCTAAAAGTAGCAGAGAGAAATTAATGCTACCTGTAATAGATTGAACTAGATTTTCTCCTTTGTTCTACTGCCTGGGCTCATTAAAGGGAACATTTAATTCTTCTATTGAACTGGCATATTTTTGTAAGGTTAAACTAACCCAATTTTTTTGTGTGCTTCCAGAATCCAAAGGGTGGCATAACTCCTCGAACCACAACCATGACTTTTACCTGTTTTGTGTTTTTTGACCTCTTCAACGCCCTCACATGTCGCTCTCAGGTGAGATTGCTCTGTCAGCAGTAATTTCTTGCCTCAAATCACAAACATAAACATTAGAATACCAGCATTTTGCATACTAAGGGTTTTTTCTTAACATTATTTAAAGTAGTATGATTTTTATCAACTTTTTATATAAATAAAATTATCCATCACAGTTCAAGAGCAACTACACTTTCAATTATGTAGCTCTATGTTGGTGTTTATGTAACTTCAAAAGTAATGGACTTGAAATGTAAAGAAACAGGGTGACATTAAGCTCTAATAGAGATTGGGAAAAGTTACTTTTTTTGTTTTTTTCCCTTCTGTAGACAAAGCTGATATTTGAAATTGGCTTCTTCCGAAACCGCATGTTCTTGTATTCTGTGCTTGGGTCGTTTTTGGGACAGCTGGCTGTTATCTACATCCCTCCAYTACAAAAGATCTTCCAGACAGAGAATTTAGGAGTGTTAGGTAAGTTGCAAAAGAAATATTTTTTTTTTAATTTAAAGTGATTTTAGAAAGCAGATGCCATTCCCAGTTTTTCTCCATTAGCTCCCAACACATCACCAGTAGGTGAAATCAATCAGCAGCTCCTGTAGCTGTGTATTTACACGCAGCCATACACAATTAGCAGTAGTATTTAATGATATTATCCCACCTTAGGTCTTGAATTTTGATTTACTGAGCATAAATGCAAGTCAATGGAGACATGCCAAGATTTTTCAGGAACATCACACCATCTATGTGATGATATTTCTGGGATCATTACACAGACATTCKCTTTGGAAAGAGCAGGGTGACCGCTTCCCAGCTGAAATGCTGGGATTTTAAAAACTCAGATTTTAYCATTTGAATCAGCAAATTGCTCCCTACCACACTGTGTTACTGCCTTGGGCTGTTATAAGCAGCGGGCAGGGATCCCAAAGGATTCCTGTTTCCACCCTCCAAGGGGACTGTCCCAGCTGTGGRTGTCCCCAATTCTCAGCTGGCAGGGGCACACGCAGGGCTCACCCAGCACAATTCCTGGCTGCAGGAAYGCCCTGGGATGGCATTCCTGTGCTGAGCTCACCTCCATCCTGTCTCATCTCTCAGACCTGCTGTTCCTCACCGGCCTGGCCTCCTCGGTGTTCATCGTGTCCGAGCTCGCCAAACTCTGTGAAAAGCGCTGCTGCCACCCACYGCACACAAAGGGATTGTCACAACTGACTCGGACTGCTCTGAAACACACTGGGAACAGAGCTGTGACCCTGGATAATCCCAGTGCACGGCTTTGTGACACCACACAACCTTCCTGAAGGTACTCAARTGTACCAACAGTCCTTACACCAGAGGCTCTTCCACCCACTCACCATGCGCAGTCCACAGAAACCTCCAGAGAGGCTCCTCTTATATTTTTATAGCACTGATCTGTGCATCCAGAAGGCTGTGCTAGTCCCAGACAAAAGAAGAGCTTCACACCTGTACAGAAAAATCTATTGTGCATAAACTGAAATTTTATTTATTTAAATCAAAATCATTTTTAATAATAAAAATCTACATTTTAAAAYGTTACTGACAAGCATCTGAGTGAGACTCGTGATTTAGACACGTCCTTTTACATTACGTTAGAAGAATGGAAAAGACCTGCCTTCAAGCATTWATTTTTCTCCAGTTTATAGTGTTTGTGGATTCCCCTATCTCCAGCCTCRATTGAGCAGGATTTCAAGGAAATAGTGGGGAGAGGTCAAACAGAGCAGGGAGCTGAAGTGTCAACCCTCAGCTGTCATTTTTTGTACCTGTGTGGCTAAGAGAAAAAGGGGAGGCTGAGCAGACCCAATGCACAGCAGCAGAAGGATTTAATGGGAAAGAGACTCACTTTCACAAAGTCTGAGAAYAAAGATGAGTCAGGAACAGAGAAGGGATGTTGAGCTTTGCAGCTGGGTCAAGAACTGCACAAAAGTGATTGAGCTGTTCAGATCATAGCTAAACCCACTGCTGACAAAAGCTTTCTGGATATTTGTAGGTGGATGAGCAGGAAGCCCAGATTTCCTAATCATTTGGTTCAGGAAAATACTAGTTGACTCTCTCCCAAGCCCATCTTTTATATTTAAAGAACAATTCAGAATAATCCCATCTGCTGGTTGGGTCAGTAGTGCCCTAGTAAATACTGCTTCATTGAGACATTTGCTAAAGTGCCATAGTGTCAATTTTCTTCTTGCCYCAGCTTAACACCTTCAAAGTGAAAATGAAGAGTCTCAGACACAAATTTGTCAAAAAACTACAATTTCAGAGGTCACGCTGCTATGCTGATAGTCACAAGATGTTTAAAMAGGATTACATTTTGGAATCATAGTCTAGAAAAAAAATATGAATAGAAAGCTATACTGGTGCTCATTATAAATCAAAGAAAACCTGGCCACTGAAGTATTTTTGGTGGAGAGTAGCTTTGTACAATTCCCCCTCCTCAAATACAGCCTGCAAAGGCATCTGCTCCCTTTTTTTTTAAACCCTTGCAGATGGCTTCAGTTCTCAAAAACAAGTCTCTGCCTTGTAATGGAAGAAAAATAAAGTCTAGCTGTTTATTTTATGCTTCCCTGAAGAAATTCAACYGTCTCATCCTGTATGCCAAGCACTTGGGAGTATTTAATAGGCTTAGTCAYTGCTAAGTGAGTTAAGTGAGAAAGACCTCTGAGACTCGTGGTGGGAGTTGGAGAATGTTACAACAAAAGCTGCTATCACCACTCTTACAGCATCATGTACTTGCTACTCCTTACAATGCACAATTTAACATTATTAACATATATAGAGAAGAAAATTCTACAAAAGAATCAGTGCAATTGTTCTGATGCTTACATTATTTTTCTGTGTGGTACAAACCTGGGAGACTTGATCTTTARAGTGTTTATCTTTAAGCAAATACAGGATAAAAGGACATTATTTCAGGCCTTTCACAGCACTCTCTGTACTGGAACAAATAGCATATAAGTGGCCCAAGTATTAATTCAGGTACTCCACAAAACACACAGCTCAGTTCTAGGGTGTCTGGCTGGAGCAATTTTTCATGCTCTCCTTTCAAGGCTAAATTCACATTTAATTTAGTTTTTAAAAATGAGATCTACATTAAGGCACAAGTGCAGGTTGTTAAGAATATTCAAATCTGGCTCCCTATCAAAAACAATACGTTGGGGAAAAAAAGACCACATACAAGAAAACAGCAAGGGAAGGGATTTGAAGGGAGGCCACAAGATCAGGAATTGTAGAATTCTGTAGATTGTTACAACACATTTTTTCTCTAAGCTGCACAAACTTATGCCAGGACAAAGGGGATTGGACATAGTCYTTTTCCTCAGAAGGAGGAAGACTGATAAGCAGAGACACTGATAACCAAACACATTTTGCTGAGTTAGAAATTACAGTCCCTGGAAGAAACCAGGGTTATTATTGACAAGTTAATAACACACAGAATTAGCAAGGTCAAACTAATAATTACTGATAGATGTGAACAAATTCAAGTAGAAAAAGTCCTGAGTAGACCTGGCAAAACTGGTGTTGACTGGTGGACAGTCAAAAAAGAGAGCACAAACCCCAACAACTGCATTTCACATTCTGGGGATAYTTTTCCATAATAGAGTACTTATTAATTATGTGGAAATAAAGTTTACAGCAATCTTCTTTAAACATTTTACAAATATAAACCTGATTTTTACTTCTTTCACAGGGTATATGCAGATCCTGTTCTCAATTAAATGTGGCTGCTTCTTACTAACTTTTTTTACAGCCTGATCTTTTATTCCAGTCTCATGAGGTTTCTAAAGAATGTACCTTGTCTAGAGAATTCCTGCTGGTGGGATGGTCCATTTTTAGGATAAATATGGCTTCAGTGATTCTATTCTAAGTTTAAAAAGCAACAGACAAATTTCTGCAGAAACAGATGAAGTGAGATGCATCAAGGGCAGTGTAGTAGCATAAAATCTGTTATTCTATAAYTATTCTGGACATCCTAAAACTCATATGGAGTCTTTTGCTGAAAATTACTTAGAAAACTTGAAAATAAATGTTTGAACTGAAGCAATGCAAATTAATAGCACCCTTCAGTTGGAATCATGTGGACTATTGTATGTTCAGCAATGGAAGACATCATTACAGTTTGTAAGCTTTGCTGACTAATTTCATGGCATGCAAATAAATATGTACAGTTTGAGGTATAAGAGCTTTAATCAGTGCCTTGAACAGGCTTTATAAATATATAAATATGTACATATCAATTCTCCAAGACAGAAAGCCATACTGTCAATAACTTCTGCTGCTTTTAATTTAGTGTGCAGACATAATCTATGGGGAATGYAAGCAAATTCACATTCAGCTGGAGCTTAGCCATGCCTAATGATTGTATCCCTAGTTAATTTTTCTGAACTCCCCCAACAAAACCCTTCAGGCAGAATAGTGCATTAAACCTGAACATTACACAAGTAACAAGCTTTGTCCCAGACAATGAGGTAAATTTAAGGGAAAAAAAAAGAAAAAAATGTCTTCTCCAAGAACATTAACACTTGGAAGTAAATAAAGGATTTTTTGTGTTACTGTAATTCCTTTAGYTCTCTTCATCATCATCTTCATCCTCTTCAATGGGTTCCCGCAGCCCTTCGCTCTGACGACTCTTTCCAGCCATTTCTAACAAGGCCTGAGCCTGAGGATCCACATCCAGGATACTCTTCTTACCTTTTTTCTTCAAAACAAAATAAGATATAGTCAATTTAAAATGTCAGTATCAGGCTACAGGGAAGGGACACACTCAAAAGTCCATTAAGTGATGTGGTCTGCAAGCTTGGCACAATGGAGCAGATGGATTTCCAAGCATGGCWTTTAAAATTCTGGGATACATCAAATGATTTTAACTGCACAAAATAGCCAGAAAATTTTCCTAAGATGACAGTGAAGTATTTCAGGTTTATTCAGGTTACAAGCCAGCCAGGACATCCTGGTTAACCTCACCTSAGTCTGAAGTGCTGATGTAAAGCTTTTAAAGAAGAGATCCAGTTACAATTCAACGTTTTTTGTAAACAGTTTGCTCTGTTTCTACTTAAAGCTCTGTTTCCAGKGAATTCAGGTCATATGATTTTAGTATGAAAARAAGTAAAAATTMARAATAAATAAATTTTAAAACCMCACCAAACTRTACAGACCAGACAGTTTAATAAGAGAATAAATTACAGGGATAGGGGAGACTGGAAAGAGGGCTCCTACTCATTCCCAAAAATAAACCAAGTGCAGGAAGACTGGCACAAACCTATTCACATAAATTCATTGTGAAACAATAGTAAATTTAAAGTTACTGATAAAGAAATCTTTTAGGTGTCTTCCTGAATTACAGATCAGCCTTTACTAGAGACTTTCCAGTGCTTTTAGAAAAACTGGGTTTTACTGAGCCCCTCCAAGGAGGTTCCTCCTGAAGACCTCTCCTCAATATCAAAAAAGCCTTTTGAAATTCAGATTAAAGTCCTGCTATTCTGGCTCTATCACCTCATGGCTCCTGATATTCTTTCTTGTTGGCACCCTCAATAATTCCACTACTGTTTTGCTATTTTCCCACTGCAAAATTCATGGCACCACAGGACCAGTTAAAGAAAATGTTATTCACTACAATAGAAAGACAAGGTTTAAACAGAAAACTGCAACTGTGAGCTTTGCATTCACATCTGCTCCAACCAGGACACAATATCACAGGTTCACCTACCCCTGCATTCTCAGGAGCATCTCCCACTGCCCAAACTTCCATGGCATCCAGAGTAAATTCCTCTTTGGCTGACAGCTGGGGGCTGTTGTAGGTGGTGCAGCGAGGTTTGGCTTTGCTGTGGCCTTTCCCATAGTCACTGTCAATCCAGAGCCCAAAGTACCCGTGCTGGCCACCCATACCCTGGGAGAAAAAACAGCACATTAAACACATCCTGCACAGCAAAAACAGACTGGGAAAGTCAGGAAACGTAGAGAACAAGCTGCTGTGTTCAGTATTTATGCAACACTTCTGTGGGTAGGTGAAAAAAAAGGGATTCTGAGTGAAGCTGGGCCTCTATACCCACATCTTTTATTCCTGAACACAAATAAGAATTTACTTGAGTGATACTGCTCTACCTCTAAGCTTTAAAAAATACCAATATTTGTGACCTGTGCAAGAAATTTAGCTCCTGGCTTTTGTTTATTGACTAACAGTTCCATTTCAGAGTGGCAGTGCTCAGGTTTGCTGCCTTTTTTCCATTTAGGAAAGTATCTACAGAAACCAATAATGTAATTCAATGTTTTTCACTTTCTCTAGAGCAAATGCCTGCTGCAATTCCCCAAGTTATGGGCACATAATGCTCCAAAAGCACTAAAGACAGGTGGTGTGTTGTAGCTCTGTAGAAATTCCTCTGCATCTGGAGAGTTCATCYGTAAATTTGAGTAAGAGGAGCTCCTGCCACTAATCACACAGCAGTAGCAGCTACTTGCAATGTCTGCACTCTAATTCTGTTGGGCTTTCTCTTCCATAATTTCAAAAGCAGGTGGTGTGGCAGGGAGAGCAGCCAGTGAAAGAATCCTCAGTTACACAAATCACTATTTTGTGCTGCTTCAGGGATACAAATTTCCTCAGARAATAACAAGTGAAATAAATCTTCTCCCAGAAACAAAAAAACCCACAAAACACTYCCAAACACCAGCCACAAATCCCACTTCCAAATGACCATTTCTGAATACTTACAAGTCCATTTGGCATAGTCTGTTGGCCATGGTTTAAATACATGTAGTGGTCATTGTACCCTGTGTATGTGTACACAGCCAGAGTGGGGAAAACAGAAAACAGAAAGCATCTGTTGTCACCTGCAAACACAGAAGCACCTGAGGTCAGACCAGTGGTCAAGCAATAAYTTGCCTACAAATAGAATAGAAAAATAATTGAAGTGAAGCTGAGTAGTTCAAAGACAGCTGCCAGGTCAGAAAGGCAGTAGATCTCCCATCAAGATTTAGATCTGTTTTTTTATTCTCAGTTAACTCTGTGCAGTYACAGAAATCAATGTAAAGGTGATCAAGGGAATAGTCAGAGGCCTCATTAGGGCATTATATCACTATGTCACCGACCCCAGAGTGCATTATAGGCACCTAAAACTGGCCAAGTGACAGATCTGTACTGCTGTGAGTGCAGACACTCCTAATTCTGACTGCACTGAAATACAGATCAGTTTAGAGTCGATGACTTAGACCATTTTTCACTATGCCCAGTGTGGTATTGAGAGGGATCTCTGGTGTGACTGCCCTGTATGCTTTGTGTGTTTCTGTGTCAGGAAAAAATAAAAGGAAAGGGATGTGTAATCAGTGTAAAATAATATTGTACCAACTGATTGAATTTTCAAACACTCATTTAGGATAGGAATTGAGTTTCTAATGTAGCCAAAGTGAGGATTCTCCACAGCACCAAATATTCAAAGCCCTGGGGTTTTTTTCAAAAGTCCATCAGAAATGTTCTTTCCAAAGAATTCTTAAAAATCCCTCTCTTCTCCCCTGAAGTTTGWAGGGAACAAGAAGTTTAGCTTGTGCCAAGAATCCTCTGGCTGCTGGATTTTAGAAGGGGAACAAAMACAGTGCACAAATGGCAACAGGAGGCTTAGCTGTTCCTGATGGAGGACTGCCATCCTGTGGACAAATTATTTAGACACTAATTCATCATATGKGCTCTACTTCCTTCATTTTCATTTAATTTTCAACCTAAGCAGTTACAGRGCTTGATAGATTTCCCAAGAAACTTCTGTGATCAATAAGCATTGCAATTTTAAAAGTCTTATCAAATAACAAACTATAAATAYTAATCAGTAACATGCCTGACTGCCATGCTAAGAATAACTTTGCATGTGTTTGATATTCTTTGAAAATCAGTGTTATTTTTGCCACAGAAAAAATCACTTAGAAGTGTAAGAAACACTGTCATTAAAGGGACAGTATCCATTAGGGGACAGGATTCTTGTGCCTATACAAAAAACGGGGAATGTTTACCAGAGATACTAAAAAAAGGAAAATGAGATTTACCTTGGAACTGTGGCTTCACCTCCCAGGAGTGAGATGCAAACCCACCAAAGAGGAAACCATCCAAGTCCCTTAAGATCACTATGCAWGGACCTTTGTTCACTATATGGGCACACAACTGTGAAAAGCTCTCCCCGTGGAGCCTGGAGGAAAATAAAAGCTGCCACTTGTGCTGTAGCTCTGCAGGCAGGTGGGAGTTGATGTAGATGATGGCTGGGATGTCAAAGAGGCTGACAACTCCTCTCCCTTTGACACCTTTGCAGTGGGGAACCAGGTTGAGGATGTCGTTGGTTTGGTCTGGGAGGGAATGSAGGACATGGAGGCCTTGCCTGATGACAACACTGAGGAAAACRGAGATCTGGGGAACTCGGTACACCCAATCCTCAATGACACTTTGATCAAAATTTGTCTCCAGCAGCTGAGAACCCACAGGTTTTGTCCCATCTAAATAAGAAGACACACAGGAACAGGAGTAAATCTCCCGGTCTGGAAAATAATTAGGTAATTTTTAAGTGCAAACACAATAACCATTATTGTAATGAACAGAAAACCACATCTGAAAGGAGCCAGAAGCAGTAAAGTGTCAACTACACTAAACAAATGCAACCACAGAACTGAGAAACATTTACCTGTGCCATTCATTGGTTGGGCTGTCACGATTTAGAAACACAGACTTCAAGCTACAACTCATGAAATATTCTTTGCCAGACAGCAAAATCTGTTATTGCAACAGTGCAAAGATAGACCTATGCTTTATAGAAGGACATGGTCATAAAAACATAATACATTTTATTTAAATAAGTAATATTTAGATGTCCATGCCTGTCATCTGCAAGTYAGGTATTTGTAAAACAGACATGTTCTACAACAAACTGGGACTCCAAATCAAATCTCACCTGAATTTAGGGGAGAAAGATGGTAAGGTAAAATAAATAAAATTCCCATCTTGTTTTCTAAACACTAGGTTTGAAATTTTGGTCTCACCATTTAAATTCAAAGATGTGACCTGAAGAGAGAAATTCTCATGAGATCAGTGATTACACAAGTTCTGGGACATGCTGATCAGGGCTGCTTACCTGGAAGCTTCAATTCTGAGAGCAGCTCAGAAGCCAAAGCTTTGACTCCACTTGAAAAATCCCTCGTATTCTCCAAACTCCAACCTTTCAGTTCCTTCCTGTAGCTCAGTACATGGACTACAGAYGTGATCAGATCCTCTGTGAACTTAAAAGATTAAAACATCACCRTTTTGGTATTTCTTAAATGAAATTGCCAAGAGCTTCAAAGGACTGTCTGAAGATAAAGTCAAGCAGTACTGATGCTGTAATCCCAAAGGCAGAAACATCTCTTGTCATGACAAGTCAGGAACTACAGAAAYGCTATTTCAGTGTCACAGGTCTGAAAAGGATGCTTTTTCAAGACATTTCATACATGTTACTTCACAAAGCAGCTAGATAAAATAGTGAYTGGAAGAGGGAGGGGAGGGTCAAGKTTTGTACYGTAGAAGCTGCTAGTGAATTACTGTTCTGTGCTATCTCACTCTCTCACCTTGCAAGCTATGTATTTGATCCTGCAATAAAGCTCCAGAGAACATTTTGCTCGGTTCCCAGAAGCATCAGCCAGCCACACCACAGCCCCTGCTGGCTCTTAACTATGGCCCTGCTCTCTCACTGTCCCCCCAACACACATTTAACTGCTCATTTACCTCTTGGATTTGTTTGCCCTTCAGGGGCCCTCCTGTCTTGGAGATCATTCTCATTATGATGCTAATCTTCTCATCCGCATTTCCTTTTAAGAGGTTTGACATAAAAATTACAAACTGCTCCTTAGCAATCTGTTCACTCAGCCCAGACGATTTKCCAGGCAGGTCAATGCTTTTCATGCCATTGTACAACCGAACAGTCATTGGCTCTGGCAGTGGTTCCCGAGTGTGTGCCTGCAGTGAGAGAAACAGCACAGAGCACATTAAGAGTAACTGATGTGTTCCAGCTAATCTGTGCTGAGACAAAGTATCTACTATCAGGAATAAACTTTTGTCAAGAACTGCTTTGCTAAGAGAAAAACTAAAAATCTCTAATTTTATAGCAATTTTTTTTGTGATTTTGGTTGATACGGTTTTTCTAGAAACACTATGGATTTCAGAAAAACCAACACTATAAAGTCCCAATAGGATATGAGCAAAGGGTTTCTAGGTGATAACTCTGGGGCAAAGGTTTACAACTGCCAGCCMAACATTCAAAATTGTGTTTTAAGTCTGCTTTCGATAGTGGAGCTCATTTAAAAACAAAGTGAAGTGTTTTCCATATCTCAGCTTTGGCCTCAATGTGGTGTTTAACCCCACATGCACATGCAGAAACAATCCCAGAAATTTCCACCTGCACAGCAACTAACTGAAGCACAGAACAAAGTTGAGAYCACCTGATTTTTAAAAAGCATCCCTGATGTTAGCAGAGTCAAAAGCAGAACTTATTAATCTGAATTGCATGCCTGSCCCTTTGAATTGAAATCTAGCTGGAATATATCATCATTCATCACGGCTCTGTGGGAAAGATCTGACTCTGGGTTCAACTTTGAGAGTGTTGAAGATAATTACACGGTTTAAAAATAAACCAGCTAAAATATATGCACACAGGAGGACATGATTACCCAGTGTCCTCACTGTGCACAGCACTGTGCACAACGTGCTGAAGACCTGAATTGACTCCTGCACACAGGGTGAAGCTCAGTGGGGACTGCTGAAATCAGTGGAGCCCCACCTGGCTAAAAGCACTACTCCAGCTCTGGAGCTGCTATTACCGATTGCCTGGCTCAATACCACTCCTCTGGAAGCCACCTGGGCTGCTCCTATTTGCTGTTAATGGCTGTTGCTGGGCATAAGAGAGCCAATATCCTGAGCTCTGTGCTGCTTTCACTGACGTCAGTGGTACAACTCCCATTGATTCCAGCAGGAGCAGAAATAGCAGCCACAGTTTTTCACATCAGAGTGCTCCACAGCGAGGGAGAGATGGTCACAGGGGGTACAACTGTCTTTGAGAGGCTTTCTAAAAATCCTACATGAGCCTGAAGTGGGAGAGGCRGCAGGGAACACAACTAAAACATTATACTTAAGGGCTTTTTGCTTCACACTGCTGAATTTACCTACCTACCCACTAACTTATCCCACCACTTCACTGGGCTGTTTCATTTTGCTTCTAGCTATTCCAAAGAGTGGACCTGGGGTGCAAAAAAGGARGTCTGTAAAACAGGAAACTTTAATAACCATCTAACTCACATCTCTGGCAGTTCAGAACCCTTGTTTTGAGCATCTTCAAGAAATTATCTAGAGATGTCTGCTCCACATACTTCCCAAGCTATGCAGTGCAGCCTGCTCTGGACCAGATGTGTAACCTAAGCAGAACACGAGGTGATGTTTGGGGCCTCATCAGTGGGACCAGACTGTTGCTGGATCAAATCTGTCACATCTCAGTCCAGCCCAGGCATRAGCACTGTCACCTATGAGGCAGGAATGTCATCGTGACTGTCCCTGCACCTACAGAAATCTTCCAAAAGATTTTAGTTTAATAAACAAACAAAAAGGCAGGAAGGGTAAAGACAAAAGTTCACCAAAAATCACACTGATCTAGGGCAAAGCCAGAAAGAKAACTTTTTCCAGTCTCAAACAATAACAGGCACCAAGGGCATTGGATGAATTAGTGCTGAAACACCAGACAGCAGGAACATCATTTCCAAACTTGGTGTTCYAAAACTTGGTGGCAGCTCACAAACAGCCAGGCTGCAGGAAGGCTGAGGCTGCTCTACATGCACAGGCATTGCTAAACACCTTAAAATAACSTGCTGCTCTCAATGAGTTTTAATTTCACTCCATTATCTGTGTAACATATATAAAAATGCACTTTACCACTACATTCATTAGGCCACTTAGTTCCTGACTAGCTGAAGTTATTAAGGATTCCAGCGAACCATTTTTCTCCTTTCTTGATTAGAAAATGAATGCAAAGTTAATCAGAAGCATAATGCATGTTAATCAGCTAAAACAGGGAGCTACAGCTTAATCAAGCCAAATTGAACTCTCTTCTTTTAGTACATATGAAGAGATTAGAGACAGTGAATGAGACTGACATAAGCAAATAAAAACTGACTTTGTGACAGCTTCTCAAGACAATCTGTAAAGGATCCCACACAACAGACTCCAGAGGGAAAAATATTCTGTCTATTTTTCAGGTCTCTGTAAAAACATTTCTGTACACCCTAACTTGCTTCAGAATCAGGAAAGCTGCAAGTGGACCCAAAAGTGCAATTTAAGAGACAAATGSAGACCTGAAAGTCACTACTCATGTTAAACCGCAAGAAAAAAAAAGTTAAATATCCATTCTGCCCCAAAATATGAAAAATTAAATTGAGATGAGCAATCCTTAAAAAATAACTATTGCCACATCTTTAGAGTTTCTTTCTGGAATTCTGTTCAATACACTACATCCCAGATACATCATGAATAACAAATTGCCTTGCCTGTAGTGCTGCCAGAGTCACAGTTTTCTTTGTAGCTTTGGCATTTTTTGCTCCAGCTGAGCCACTAGATCCTGATAAGGTATCGAATAGTCCATCAATGTCAGACTGCTCCTCAGGAAGAAATCTGGAAAGGTGATTCTGATAGGCATTGCTTTCTGCATTCCCCATCTTTTCAACCTGAAGCAAAGAAAAAAGAAACAAAAGAAACATTAAACACAGAACAATATCACAAGGGCCATGAAAGACACATCAAACTGACTAACATACCACTGCAAGTTTTACAAGAATAGCAAATTAGTAGCCTTACAGGAAATTATTAAAACTACTGTTTAGTCTCTGTATTCACCAAGACTTAATGAACTTGGAGAACATCTGTGGACAGTAACTGTGCTTTAAAAGCTGACAGTCTGACAGCTCTTTGCTAAAACCACCAATGCAAACCTCARTCAAGTCTCCATCAAATGGAAAAACCAATATGATCTAACGGTTAAATTAGTTTATACAAAGTGACCATGAGTTTGACAGCTGGAATACATCCCTAACAKAAGGGAAAAGGTCTGATAATAGATTAGTTATGACAGATTGTGCTGCATCTTTCTGATGCATTAATGGACTGAAGCTAAGTTTGCCAATATTATGCAGCACTAAAACACYGTAACTGCAAGTCTCTGAAAATCACAAATATAAATTAATTTCAAACATCAATTAAACAAAGTAACAACAAAATTTAGGAACACAACTCAAGACCCATCAAAACCACAAAAATTCGTATGAAACCAATAAATCAGTCAGTGAGTTGATATTAATAGAATTAAGGCTGGTGGGGGGGGGTTTGGTTTGGAGTTTCTTTGTTTGTTTTACACATTTAGTGACACAACTATTTCTCTCACTGTCAGCAGAGTCAGCTGGATTATGGAGACTTATTTTTAGTGTCATTTGAGCCATGTGCTCTSCCTTTCTCCCTGGCACAGACCTAACAGGGCCTGAAATTCCAAATTTCACCATGACCGCAATGACAGCCATCACTGCCAGCAGCCTTCCCATCTGTCTGGGGGAGACACAAATATGAAAAAGATGAGATGCGGAATAAAAAGATGATTCTGCAGGTTTTTTTTCTGCAAATGCCATGCCCTTCCTGGCACCTCTCTTTTCCAGACAAGCCCATCACGCAGCCCTTCAGCAGCCTCCGAAGGACACACTGTTGTGCCTAACGCGGTGTTTCTGTCGTTAACTTTGTTTACCGTAGATAAGCAGGTCGGGCTGTGGCTGCTTCACCTTCAGGCCTAAAGCCTTGCCTGAGAGGAAGATGTCGATCGTGGGGTAAACACCGAGGGCTGAGAGCAAACCACAGCAACCTAGAAGACCTAGAAGGTGAAGATACAAATTTGAACAGCGAACCGCTGGAGAAGGAGGGCCCATAAAAGGTTTATTCTAGGTGTGCCAAGAGAATCTGACCAACTCTGTCCATC